AGTCCTGCGGATGGTCCCATATGTAAACACAAAATGACATCTCGAGTCTGGACGGGATTCACGGACGAAGATATTATTAATTTACAAAAAGGAAATGGCACGCAGAATGCTAAAGGTAGTCAGATATGTAAGGTTATTTAATTGTCGTTGAAACAAGGTGTTAAAGTGGAAAATCAGAAGGGAATAATGGTCGAATTGAATGTTAAATGATATTGTTATTGTCCTTCGAAAACTCAAAAAATGCTACAATGACATAATTTAGTACATATTCTAGTTTTTAATTGAAAATTGTTGGTGTGATTTCATTGTGTATATTCAGGTGATTGATTAAGCATGTTAAAGATATTCTTATAAGTAGTTCCCCGAAAATGTCTTGCTTTTTCGGGGAAAAAGGATCTACCTCATTCCTTCAATACTGATTTTATTGCAAATTATCTCCATGCAATTATGGTATTCAGAGAGTGAGAATACAGATTATCAGATAATAGCTAACTTGTCCTGTTTAGGAAGCAGGAAATGACTTCTTAGTATATTAGGGGTCATTGATTTTACTTAAATAAAGGAAACTTTTTAAAGAGCATTGTGTTGCTGATTTTACAGTATTGTTAGATAGTCAATTAAATGTGCAGTCCTTCCATTTAGTGTCATTAACACTGATCAGCTGTAATACAAGATATTTACTCTTAGTATGAGGTCTGTTTTTGTTATAGAATACTGGGCACAAAGGCCGGATGCTGGTTATCGATGCCTCATGTAGTTGAACCTGTTGTGTACAAAACTTGTTCACTCATTTTGCCCACTAGGCTGAAAGTCTCTTGAAAGTTTCTGTAAAAAAATATTGCATGATGCAAACACGATTGTAGGGATCAGGGAAAACTTATATTTTACAAGCTTCTATTTTTTACCTGAGTGGCTGACTACACATAGCTCCTACCATCATTGGATAGTTACAGAAAATATGATTTATATGACATATTTGCAGTATGGGAAACCTAACCCACTAAAACCCTCCTTATTTCACGGACCATCAGAGCATCAACCTGTAGCATGCTATGTCAGTGGCAAAGCTCCAAGCAGTCACCAAAACCTTTGTGCCTGTAGTGCTCTAGCAGGCAAACCTCCAGCATGTATATTCTAATGAGACAGCTTTGGCAGAAAATGGCTAGGGAGGGTCACAAACTCAATTTTTGTAATACTTTAGCAAATTTGAAACTCATTTGAGAATATTCATTAGGTTTCTAAAGTATGTTTTTTGTTTTTAAAATAATTAATACAAGCTTTAAGGGTGTAAATTGGAACCATAATAGCTTTAGGTCTTCCACTTTTTAAGAAACTGTTTTATGTAGATTAGGGTATAATCAGCTGTGTGCTATCCTCATTGTCAAATAAAAGGATTCAAAGGATCAATAAATTACCATGGATCAATAAAACTATGGGAGTATTAACATGTGCCTTTGATCCAGATAAAAAATATATGAGAATAGGTATGTATATATATATATATATATATATATATATATATATATATATATATATATATATATATATATATATATATATATATATATATATATATATATATATATATATATATATATATATATATATATATATATCCGTATGTAGTTTACATGTTTCTTTATGTGTAGTCTCTGTGATATATATGAAAAGCTTATTTAAAACTTGAAAGAAGGACTATTACTCTTTCCTTATATTAATCTATGGAAATGTTTGAGTATTTGAGTGGGATATAATCTAGACTGAAAATTTTTAAAAAAGTAATGGGTCTAGAGCCAATCTTATTCAAAATGTATCAAATGAGTTAGGCCTAAACTGATATTTTGCATCAGAATTTATAAGATTCATAAATAGACTATTCCTACACCTCAGCGATAAACCATTTTACATTCTCAATATACAAGATAAGAAAAGTCATTGTTCAACAGCACCTATCAAAGATATTTTATCAACTTAATACTGAAAAGGACAGCCTGATACAAACATTATGGCCCAAAATAATAATGAAAAGATTGACTGGACAGTACACATCATAGGTAATAGACTGAGTATATATAAAAGAGTCCATACATAATTCAAAATTAGACCTGAAATTTAGGCTACATCATGGTATGAAATCATGTAATGGTTATGGTGGACCGAGGCACTGATGGCAGTGCATAATGGCATACCCTGCTCATCGGAGGGAGCTGTGCATGAAGTGCCAAATGATCGAGTGCAAACGGAAAACTGCAAGTGAATGCCAACAACCCCACATTCGTGGTCACTAGCTAATTTTTTTTATACTGTAATTGTTGGGTTTAAAGAGAGGAAAATGAAAAGGACCTACTGTGGAATATTAGAAGGGATTTTTTTTTATTACTCTATTATATAGCCCCAATATTTACTTGGTAAATATCATAGTAAATACAATACTTCACCTTGATAAAGTATCATGATACAAAATCATTTCAAAATTCTACAAGAGTCTTCAGAAGATTTC